AAGGATGTAACGTTAAATAGAGCTTCACTTATTGTAGAAATATTCAAAACTTTAATTTTGTTCCATCAAACTTCTCAAACATAATTATCATTGTTTTTTTTATACTTGTAATAGAAAGACTTCTTAGATTTAGTTATAAAATTAATCTATTTGCTTCTCTTAATTGTACAACTTCTTGGCATAGATTTTAAACTTCATTATTGATTTCTTCTATAAGTATTGAAATACTATCTCTATGATTGATGTTAGAAATACATGTCATGCATATATATCTAGTATAACTATTACCTAGATAATATGAATAGGTAGAAGTAGATAAAAGTAAGTAAAAGTAGATTAATTTTATAATATCTTCTAGAAAAGCTTCTTAGAAGCTTTTTAGACATTGTTTTGACTTTACATGTATTTATAATTGATTGGTAGGCTAGAAACTTGGTCAACAAGCTAATCACTTGCCATATGTATTAATAGCTTGTACAATAAGCTAATTATATGGTACCCATATCAAAAACTTGCCTTATAAGTTAAAATATATGTCATGCAAAGTCAACACGTTTTTGGAGGTTCTATAGAATGTCGCCACATAGATCTTAGATAGATAGTATATATAGAGGTAAGAATGAAATCTTCTTCACTCTTATTAATTCCTTTGTTGTTTCTATTTTAGTTTTAAGAATCTCTATTTTCTCTTTTAATATATATACTTTTCTATTTTTATTTCTTTAAAAGAGTCTCACTTGTTTATTTGATTTCATTAAGTTCTTGTCTTTGACAATCCGTGAGATTTCTACCCTAAGAGTGTTGATAAACTCTTGAAGATTTACAATACTTACAAATCTATTATTATTTTTTTCAATTTGCATCTATAATTTTTCTTACCATAGATAACTCAAATAAATCTACAAGTCAAATTAGAGGAGGATAATTTACAACCATAAATAAAAAATAAAATTTTTCATGAAGAAGAATGTCTACTTTCTTTGAAGAAAAAATCAGGATTAGAAAATTAAAAAATTATTTTAAAGATGAGTAGTTTGCCATCTTTAAAATACAATAATAGAAGTGAGATGATTTATTCACTTTTAAAACAAAATAAGAATAATGAAGTAACATTCTTGTCAAACTATTAAACGCATGAATTTCAAAAAATCAAAGATCAATACACTCTTATGTTGCTTAAAAAGATTAGATAATCACTCAAAGATGGCATAAACTTGAATTAGAATTTCTATTGTCAAAGATAAGAAAACTAGAGTCTCTTGAAATAAGACTAAAAACAAGAAAGTCATTGACAAGAGTGAAGAAGGTTTCACTCTTACCTCCATATGTACTATTTAACTAAAAGCTATGTAGTGACATTGTGTAGGACCTCCAATATGTGTCCAACTTGCAAGATATATTTCTAACTTATAAGACAATTTTCTTATAAGTGTGCTATATGGTTAGCTTGTTCTTCAAATATAAGTATAAATTTTTACTCTTCAACCCAAGTTACAAGATGGCCTCAATTAAGAGTTGCTTGTAATTGGTGGTGTGAAGTGAAGTAAGCAAATAACAAGAACAAAAGAAGAACGACCACAAAACAATTGAAATAAATGACTTGAAGTAATTACAACACCCAAAACTAAGTCACAGTCTGTTCATTGTATTTTCACCTAGTAAAAAGTATATTTTTTAATAGATAATTTTATTATCTTTCCAATGACATAAAAAATATGTAAATCAAAATTACTATGAGTAAGTTATGAAGCTTTAAAGATATGAAGTAAATAATTGAAAAATGAATTGAAAATATTTTATCTCAAAGGTAACTTGCATACAGATCAAAGGTTCGAACCTCACCAAGGATCACATGTAGTATATAAGGGTGTCTTAGAGAGGCCACAAGACCTTAGTCTTATCCTCCTTACTACCTTCAAGGTGCTACAATCCATATAGGACTTGTGCACCCTCCTTCCTAAAGGACTACACTAGTTACTGCTCTTCCTATTTTCTACTAGAAGGACCAACACTTTTGAATTTTTGACCTTATCATGGTTTTCAAAAACACCCAATAAGCCTAGGAACCTAATGCGGCCTTCAAATCTTGTTCCATTTCTTCATAAAAGCTCCCAAAGTGGTAAAACTCATTTTTACCCAAATCTTGAAAATTGTTCTAAAAATTCCTAAAAAATTCTAAATAAATTCTAAATAAATTCTGAAAAATTCTATAATATTTTTATAATACTAACATCTATTTAAGGCTATATTTTCCTACCTTGGTGATTTTTGATAATAATAAAAATAAATTTAAATCCACTATAAATCCTATTTTTTATATCAATAATTAAAGTGACATGAAGTTCTTTCTCATGCTTCTTCTAACTACTAACATTTATAGTTTTTATAAGTAGTACATATAGATAGAAGACCAATGTAAATATTGGTCTTAATAAATAATCCTTAATATTCAAAAATAAATAAAAATACTAAACCAATGAAGATAATTGCCTCCAAGACTTATTAAGACTCTATTTCCACTACTAACATTCTAATTTTCTATTTCTCTAAAGATTTCTACACTACTCACTATACATTATGATTTAAAGCATTCTAAATACATATTTTTATCCTAAAACAATAAGTGAGTCAATTTGATGACTCACAAAAAGCTACCAACATGTGCAATATGTGGCTAATTTGTTGGCCAATTTTCTAACCTTTCAATCAACTACAAATATGTATAAAGTCAAATATACGTCTATGAAGTCTCTAAGAAGCTTTGCTACAAGATAATATCAAATCAACCTATATTTATCTTCTATTTAATACTTCTTATCTAGATAAATATAAATATATATATATATATATCAATGATAAGACTAAGAATATAGAATAAAGATGGAAGGATTGAAGATTGGAGATAGATTGAATTAATCATGAAAATCCAAATTGATGTTGCATTAACAACATGGAGGTGTTGCTTTAGCAACTATATATATATATATATATATAATAATTCAATTATTATTTTTTTAAAAAGCATATAAAATTCCAAAAATATATAAAGTTTAAAGTATAAGAAATAGTAATGTAAGTTTTAGCTTAGAATATGCATATTAAATTATATATATTTATATTTCAAAATATTTATTATTTAAATATTAATCAAGTAAGTCAAAGAATTTTTAAAAATATTAATTCAACATATTATTAATATTTGTATGTTTATCTATAATTAAGAATAAAATTTTGAAAATTTGGCATATAATTATATATAACCAAGATACTTAGTTTTTTTTAAAAAAATTAGGTTCAATGCATAAAAATTAGGTGACTAAATATTATTTTTTAAATAGATAGTTCTAGATATGTAAATACTTTTAAAAAGATCTTTATACCAAGTGAAGAAAGAAAGCCACAACTTTCAACTCATTTGATTATGTGAAATTGCAAATCATTATTTGATTGATTTTATACTTGGAAAAACTAATCCAAAAGTTGTAAGAGAACTAATAAAATGAAATACTCTTTTTTTCTACATGACATAAACAACGTTATCTCCTATGGGTCCATCTCAAAGAGATTATTTTTATGAGAATTTAAGAAACAATGTCAAAAATGCTGAAACGAACTATTAAAGAATTTGCTCGAAGCTATATTTCCTGTTTGATTGTCTGTTTGTTTGTGTTTTGTTAATTCTTTCTTACTTCAACAGCCAAAAACCATTAACAATGAAACCCTAATTTCTCGCTGAGTCCCTTGCTGTGTGAAGCATCCGGGGGGGAGTATCGAGCTGAGCCCAGAATCGGGCGCTTCATTGCGCACGGCGCCGAAGCACAGAACTCCACATCGCAGCATCGAATTTGCAACGATGCCCGATGCGTGAGCACAATCTTCATGCTCTCGTCGGGAGTCACCGAGAGCGACCGCACTGTGGTCTGCTGACGCTTCGCACCTCTTTTGCATGAAAGCGGGCCATTCCATGGCGCTAAAAGCACACTCGTACAAAGCTCCGATGATATGGAAAGGGGACAAATATCTATCCAGCTCGAAGCTATCAAGCCTCTGCTTGGGTGAAATGGGATAATCAGCGCTGGACGACCGGCACATTCACCCAGAAAACGAGAGGATGCGTTGCGAGAAATGAGGGTGAGATGAAATTGGGTACAATGCAGTAAAACCAAGCCTTTGACGCTGTGAGAATACTACCGAGTTTGTTGTTTGTTTTGACGACGTCTAGAGATGTCCGATGTGTTCGGTTCGTGAAGCGATTGGCTCAGATTACTGGCTCAAGGCGCACAAGCTCCTTGGGACTGTGCGGTAACAAACTGGCTAAGAGAAAGAGACCACAATTATCCTTGACATGTAACGTGGCTTCAGGACCTTGCTGCACTTATTCCGGCTCAGTGACAGCACAAAGGAACTAACGAGCAATGGAAGCTCACGAATACAGTGCACCCCTTTTCTTTTCTTCCTTTAATTTTTGAAACCTTTAGCTCTGATATTGATTGAGGGGCCGTGTTGAATTAAAGCTGTGGAATTCGTCACGTAACTTGAGGGCAAGCTACCACAACCCACAAGTACCAGAGCAAACCGGCGAGCTTTTCTCTCGCGATGACCAATATTGAAGGTTTTCCTGGCCGTGGTCTCTGAAGTGGTGAGGTAACTTAAAGGGGTAATATTGGGGAAGAGGAGTGGGATGAATGGAAACCACTAGCAAGTGTCAGGGGATTCGCAACAGTGAGAATCCGCCATTAAGGAGCTTTTCTCTGGAATTGGGAGCCCAGCAATTGGAGGCTTCTCTGGCACGAAAAGTTCCTCCTGCTCATAGGTTCTCGACTGAATCTGCAATCACCGGCCATCGTGAATGAGACGGCATTGGTCCGACACTAGTGTGCTACTTGGACGTCACCATGGATTTCATCAATGCGGGAACACAGACAAACGGCAAGATAAGATTTGACTCCCTTTGATGACGAGAAAGCCTTCCACTTTTTAGAGACTGCATTGACGCTAGATGCTGAGGCAAGAGATCACTGCACAATACCAGATCAAGACGTTGCGAGCGGATTCACAGCTCAATTCCTAGCGAGGATCCTCTTTGTTTTGTGGAATGTGGTGGCATCTTTACCTGCTGGGAGGTAGCGTAACCAACCAGTCACCACTTTCTGCCGCTATCGTTGATCGGACTTTAAGATGAAGGGGTAATACTCACCATCTTCTTGCAATATGAGCAGACAAGTTGATCATTGGGAGCTACAGTCCGGCCGGAGTTACGCGAGCTTGTGATTCGACGCCTGATTGAAATATCTCCGGTACTCGAGCACTCAAGTGTAGAAATTGAGGTCGATCACAAGATTAGGATGGCAATTAGAGCTTTTCGCAGTTCAGAATTGTAGTGAAGCATCGAAGTTCGCGTTCAGATCTCGAGCAAGGGTGTAGCTTATAGCACATCTTGCCGTGTCCATTGCGGGAAGTCCTCTCCTGGTGAATAATTTCAATTCTCAAAACAAATCACGACATGAGGAAGCTCCTGGGAGGAGGCCGGGTGGGCATCACCCTAGGCTTCGCGGACAATAAAGTGGAGAGAGTTGTTCTCCAGAATTCCTTATACGGTGACTCCGTAGCTCATAGTGTGACCTCTGCTAGTCCTCCGAAATCATTCAAACACGAGGACAGGACTCGGAAAGAACTGAGAAGACCCGGGAATTTGGTACGAGCTTCTCATGGAGCCTGCAGTAGCCACAGCGAGCATTTTGCAACATTAGGTCTCAGCGCTGCCGCCTCTAGACAGGAAATCAAGCAAGCCTACCGCAAATTGGCTCTTCAGGTGCTACTTCTGATCCCTCCCTTTGATACGAATCGATGCAACTTCCTAATACTGGAGCTCAATTTTCAGTGAGCAATCTCTACCTTGATCAGAATCCTCGCAGGTCCATTTATAACGGCTGTTTGTCTGCGTGTACAGTATCATCCTGATGTCTGCAAGGGAGAACATTGCGCTCTTATGTTCAAACAAGTGAACGATGCCTACTATGTAAGTCCAAAACCCACCCTCTCAGTTCCACCTCCAATTCTGTGTTTCTGTATCAGATTGTCTTCGTGATCTTAGCTATGGCTTGCGATCAATCAACTGCAAATCTTCCAGTGTCGATCCCGGTCACGTTGTCATCCTTGAGATTGGGTTGGGATCTTCTAACTTTGTGACAATCGAGAGGATCGTCGCCACGTAGTTTGAACTCACTGAATTTCTGCGACACAGGTTGCATTGGAGGCGGAAGAGCAAGTTGTCAATGATATTGGCACCGACGACTGTCTAGATGGTTTCATGGGAGCTGAGGACGATTCCTGGGATGAGTGGGAGGAGTGGATGGGTTGGGAAGGTGCCGGAGCCGCCGACTATTCTTCCCACATCAACCCTGCTTACAGCTTCTGAACAGCCACCAATTCCCAAACCACCGCAACATCACCGTCGATATTGTGTACATTAACCTGATTCGTCGAAGTCTTTCAGAAACATGAAGGGGAACAACAGCCCTAGAGGCTCCTGTGTCGACTCCACTTCTGCACTGTGCATGTGACGCAAAATACCTCGCTCTTGTAATTACGTCCACAGAGGGACTACATCAGAAGCAACAACATCAACAACAAACCCTGAAAAATCCTCTCTGATTTGTACAGTTTGAGCACTGGTAACCGCATCTAAGCGATTGGTGATGTGGGTACTTCATGAGCTTCGGATGGAGTTGTTATCCTGTTTGTTTAGATTGCAGCATTGTGCATGGGCTCCTTCTTATAATGATTCATAGAGGAGGTTGTTACTGCTGTTGGTGCGTGAAAGCTTTTTCCAACTGTTGGAGGTAGCATTTCTTAACCTCACTGGCACCAATAGCAGTGTGTCGATGCTTGTAGTTTCTTTGTTGTTACGGTTAGGAAACTGGAATGAGAATAGATGATGAAAGGTGAGGTAGTGTCGTTGTTGAATGTGATTGTGTTTTAGAGCGAAGCAGCGTCATCCTCAAATTTTAGATATAAGAAAACTTAAGTCCAACTTTGCATAATTTTAATGTGGTAAGAAATGAATAGTTCTAAAACAAATTGTTTCAAAAGCAACAGAATTGGGATTTTAGTAGAAAGTATGAAATTTATGATGTAAAAATATTATTATTGAACTTTGGCAGTAACATTAGCATAGGCCATAGCAAAGGATACAAATAAAGACTGCTGTGTTTTTCTCTACATAGTGATAAAAGTATGGGCAAAATAGATGAAAATGGAAGAGAATCTTTCAAGTATAAACGACCTTGCACATGGTAAAATAATGGCCATTGAAAAAAAATTAAATACATAACACGTTTTCACAACACAAAATATATGAAAAAAAAAAAAAAAAACAAAACAAAAAAAAACTTCATCAAACAATAAAAAAATAAATGGAACTAAATTAATGGCTTACAATATAATTTTTACAAAACTATGTAATAACAAAAACTTATAGCCATAAATAATATGTGTAATGGGGGTTATTAAATTTTTATTTCAATGGTTTATATGTTTTATAGAAAATATAAAAAAATTAATTAATCAGAAATATTAAATTTTGGATTTAAACTGATATGTTTTTAAATTTTAAAAAATAAATAAATATATGAAGACCAAAAGTTGTTGGATTTTAAGTTCCAACAATAAAATTGATATTTTACCACAAAAATAATCAAATGATATGGAATATTTTTATTCCATATCATTTGATTATTTAAATTGTAAATTAATAAATTCAAATCACATGATAGCAAAGATGATTGACATAAGATTAATTAAACAGAATCATTTGCACCAAGAAAAAACTTTCTATCATATGGTTGATATAACTATTTCTCAAGCAGAACCATGAATTAAGCATAACGTATCAAAAACAGCAACAAGTAGACCAAAACGATGTAAACTCCTACACTTCTTGCTACACTTCTTTACTGACAAAAAGGTTCCTTTTTGTGCATTTTTTCCGAAATATGCCATTACTTGTCAATTAGTGCAGATCATCTTATACCACTTTCACCTTCGCTGAAGAATTTGTCATTTGCGGATCAATGTTAAGGTAAAGAATATAGGATGTTCTTCAAAAGTTCCTTAAAGCATGAAAACGACATGTTACTTGAGCTTTTTCAAGTGAAAAAAAGAAAAAAAAATGATTTGTCAGACGTGAGATAATCGGTCACAGTAGCACAATTCCATCAAGAATCGAAAACTAGAAAACTTAAACATGGATTCTTTATTCAGTCAAAAATTCGCGATCTGCAGAGCTTGATCCAAGCCTCACAACCAGAAATTCCTACATGATTAGAGTCGTACACAGGAAAATAAAACACAATGGCCCGTACTTGGACAAACTTTTGTGGGTACGAAAATGAGAGCAGCTCAGGACAGGGAAATCGCCAGGGCAAACTTAATAGAGCAAACATAATGGGAAACTATTCTAAATCAGTGATGCAATGCTATATCTGAGGGTGAAGTATTGTCTCCCAGTTCACACGAATACAAGTTAAGTTGAGTACACAGAAGGGTAAGTTAATGTTTACAAAATCAAATTATTCCAGCGTCAGCTCCGCAGGAAGACAAGGTGCCCTTTGTATCGAAGCACCTAAGAGACGCAATTTTAGATCAAGCTTCTCATATCCGCGATCAATGTGACTGATTCCCTCTATATATGTAGTTCCCTCTGCCGACAATCCTGCCAAGACAAGAGCTGCTCCTGCCCTTAAATCAGTTGCCAAGACAGGTGCTCCATACAGTAAACTGCAATTGCACAATTGTGAATGTAAGAACAAAGAGGATGGGATTTCGAGTAAAGGTATCTGAACAAGATTCCAACCGGAACCAAAATTTGAGAGTAAGGTTGTCCTCACAGTCTTACTGGTGGTGGAGTGGACATCTGCAGACAAGTTAGTTTCTGCTAAATTCTATAAGAAAGGATTAGTCAAAGACACATGAAGAAGTGTGCTATTTCAAGTTACCTGCCAGTCTCTTTGCCATTTATGATGGCAATGTTTCGACTCATTTTTATCTGGGCTCCAAGCTTCTGCAGCTCCTCCGCTGAAAATTCGAATGCATAATGTGTTAACACAACACCCTACCAAAGAGAGCAAATGAGAGGGGTGCGAAAAACAAAAAAACAAAACAATTCCGGGGGAGGTTGAGTAAAGTACGCAGAGCACGTCCAGGTACAAGAACGCAATGCATACCTTGACGCATGCGACCCTCAAAAACGGTCTCTTCTAGAACACTTTGCCCAGAGCAAGTGGTAAGAAGAGACATCAGCTGCGGTTGCAAGTCAGTAGGAAAGCCTGGATAAGGAAGGGTCTTCACATTGCAGCTTCTGAGCATCTCAGCGCAATTAATCTGCAGACATCAAGCCTGGAAATGTTGAAAAAAATATAAATTAACAGGATAAACCATACAAATTTTAAACTCAGCTCGATCTGCATTTGAAAGGACCTTTCTAAAAGATTAAATCACAAATAAATTTGATAAGACACTACACTGGAACGGAGCACAGAGAAAGATTCACTAAAAAGAAGCATGATGTTTACCCGAAGTGAATCGGACCTTGTTACTTGTATTTGACAACCAATCGTGCGAAGTTTTTCTATCACTGATGCCAAATGTTTAGGAATGACTGGATTCATGGATATTGAAGATCGAGTAATTGCGGCGGCTATTAAAAAAGTTCCAGCTTCAATCCGATCGGGTATAACACAGTACTCTGTGCCATGAAGTTTCCGTATACCACTGATGCTTAAAGTGTTCGTTCCAGCTCCTTGAATACATGCTCCGCATGAGTTCAAAAAATTTGCAAGATCTACTACTTCTGGTTCCTGCAAATCGTAAGTGCTAGCATGAATATCACCCATGGTGAGATCAATGTGAAAATATAACTAATTGATCTCAATATAAAGATTTAAATCCTCAATGATCACCAGTAGAAGCGAATATGTCGCAATGCTTGATATCTTAAAAAGAAGAAAAAGGAAGTGAGGGAATACATAGGTCATATAGAGGAAAAGTGGACAGAAATTTTGTGATTTTTGGAGTTGGAAATAGTTCAGTTAACATATTCGTGCGCAGGGTGGGATCAGGACACTACATTCCCGGCAGCTTAGATGATATCTGAATCTCTTTTAAAGACCCCAGATAGGGCGGGATTGCTCCTTACACACCACTCTTCTTCTGTAGAAGATCCAAGAGGCTCAAAGTGAGTCAACCTAAGACATAAACCTGTGGTGACCTTGGACCCTAAAAAATGTCTTCATTTTAAGCCAACGATAGCAGACTCCATATTTTCATTCTCTTCTTACGAACAGCATGAGTGTTAGACCTCGAGCCACTGGTCACGCAACGATGGAAAACCTCATGCATTCTCACTGCACTTCCTATTATCAGACCTTAGTTGAATGGAACATACAAGATCTTCATTACAGCACATTCAACTCCAACACCTACATTCAATACGTGCCCCTCTTATATCACCAAAAGAATCACAGAAGTTTGATATTTGCGGACAAGCACGATGCTGGAGCTTTCCAAGTTCTCAAATAACCATTACAATATGATCAAAGCAAGCATACCTGAGCGACGTTAGATAACGTGGTGTGGCCGTCTGCGAGAGCAGCTGCCATCATAAGCGTCTCGGTAGCACCGACGCTAGGATAGTCCAGAAAGAAACTGCCACCAGTGAGATTTCTGCCATTGAGAGCTCGACCGAAGACTTTACCTTGCCTGCAAAACCGCGAACCTGTGAGCGACCCAAACAACTGTTCTCTGTCATTCTTTCTGTACTTTCACCTCCCACGCTCCGCTTGAGCTAAAGCGATCACCCCCTTTCCTATATTACAAGCCTCGTACCACCGCACATGCACTTTCCAGAATCAATTACGAACGACTGTATAGAGGATAAACAATTCCAAGCACAATTCCAGCTATGTGCTGAAGGATGAAAACCATTAAAGAAAAGCTAAGGTTTACTCAGTGATCACTGCTTTTAAACATGGAAAAGAACTCAAAACAATGACGAGGACTCACAATCGCCACAGAGAATCAAATTACAGAGAAGTTGTGATATACCTGATCTCAATATCAGCACCAAGAGCTTCCAAACCTCGAACATGAAGATCAATAGGACGTGCCCCAATGTTACAACCTCCAGGAAGTGGCACAACAGCCTCTCCTTTCCGGCCCAAAAGGGCACCTATCACAAAGAAGCTAGCCCTCAATTTCCGCACGGCTTCCGAACAGGGCTCTACCGATGTTAAATCCTTTGCATCAATCATGAACCCACTAGAAGCTCTTTGCACTTTGACTCCTACGGATTGTAAGACTTGAAACATGCGGCGAACGTCGTGGAGATCAGGAATCATCTCCAGATACACTTGTCCTTCGGAGCAAATAGCACCGGCAAGCACTGCCAGAGCAGAGTTTTTCGCCCCTGAAATGTTCACCTCTCCGGAAAGTCTTCTTCTTCCTTCAACTTCGAAACATTCAACCAGGTGTCCTGGCCTGAAGGGACTCATATCCGTCAAAGCACTAGAATGTAGTATTGTCTTCTTCAAAGACGTTAGCGTTTGGGTCGCCTTGGAGCTTCTGTTACCTAGCTCTGCCCTTGGCGATGATAAAGATTCAAGGTAGCTGGCGGATTCTAATGCAGCTGCCTCAGGAGAATGTAAGGGTGAGTTGGGGGGTGGAGCCTCAAGGACGACCTCCAAAGCAACTCTGTTCTCAACGCCGCAGATTGGAGTCAAACAAAATCGATTTCTACCCTTCAATACCCAATTAAACGAATCAGATTTGCACACATTCGTGCTGCTGTGCTCTCCCAAAACCCTAATAGAAGCAATGCTGCGAAAATTCTTACGTTCAAAACTAAAACCCACGCTTCCTGAGCTTCCCTGTTTCATCTCCGGTTCGGAAATTCTACTATTAGCTGCCCCAAGCTTATATGCTGGACCGCCATGTCCTGTGTAGCTATCCCATGACAGGAGTTGATTTCTATTGAATCTCCTCAAAAATTGTGAGGATCGCCCACCCTCGAAAACAGCTTTGAATCTTCCACTCTGCGAGTTAAGATTCTTCAGAGGATGAGTAAGTGAAGAGGTTCCAACGTCCGAGTGCTTGCGCAAACAGCTGGAAGTATGTTGAGGAGAAGCCCACCCCTGCGCTAGGTCACAAGAACTTTTGGGAAAATTACCGGGCACGCGGATGGCTTCCATGGTTCCACAGGACCACAGGAACCACCAACAATTTAAAAAAAAAAAAAAAAAAAAAAAAAAAAAGTACGAATCACACCCAGTCTCTATAAATCTCGCGACATTGTTCCAGCAATTGAAGCTCAACCAAAAAATTAAAAACAAATAAATGTGGCACTTTATCCCTTCATTGAAAAATGTGAAAGAGATAAAGAAGCTGGTAGCACTTCACCAAAGTAACGCAATGTCGCACTCATAAGAAAAATAATAACAATAACCCTCTCTTGCTTGTTGCAAAACCTCGACACTTCTCTTGCCATCACTGTATAAATCGCACAACTCGGTATAAATTCCGAGTAATTTTTTCACCTAAACCCAATATAACCAGCAGAGTAAAATAGGATTCAGGATCCAGTGAGAGGACCCAGCAACACATAATCACTCGATACACCACATTTGTGCTTCCACTGACGATGATCACGGTAAAACACAGTGAGAATCACTCTGACGCCACCCACGACCAGCAAGAACATCCGCACTCGAGGAAGACAGACAGAGCGTTACAAGCGCCACAATGTGGGGTTAAAATGAAAGGCATCGAGCGAAACGAAACTGCAAATCACGCAAGGAGGACTTAAGGACGGACAAATCCGGAAGCGTGAAGGCTGCGAACCTGTGACTCATTCATTGCTTGATTGCTGGCATAGGCTCCGATCCGCTGGTGCTTCAGCGGAAGTACCGCAGAGCGGAAGAGGCTTCGACTGCGGGAACCTAACGAGAAGCCTCGGCTTTGTCGTCGACGTTCGTCCACATCATGCATGTCTCGTTCGTCCAGTCCTCGTCGCTTGGACGACGATATCGTTCGTCGCTTCCCTGAAACTGACGAACGTTCCAAGGTGTGGGGCGGTTGGTGACGGTTTGATTGGGATGAATAAATAAGGTCGGTTGTGGGGTCGTTCATTCATCCGATGGATGAAGTGTAAGTGTTGGGATTTGTGGCGAACCCACTCTATTTTAATGTTCAGGGAAATACAACAATGTCTGAAGTTTATTTTGTTATGAATAATTCAAAGTCTAAAGTTAAAAATATTTAAAATTCTAAAATACAAAAGATTGAATTTGCAAAAAAATCGAATATAAGGTTATAAATAATGAGACATTTAATTTTTTTTCTTATGTTGGAAAACTATAGGTATTTCTTGTATTGATCTTTATTTATACCTTAGCTCCTAAATTTTTTAATATATATATATATTTATAAATTTTTTAAAAAATATTATAGAAGTTTGCAAAAGTAAGTAAAAGACTATTTAAGATCTTGGAAGCCTACACAAGGTTCCTAAAAATATATGATGTATTATATAATATTCTTAGAGTCTTAAAAGACTTCTAAAAGTCACTAAAAGTTTTTCAACAAATTATGAAAAGTATCTAAAAAAAACATAAAGGGTTCTTAAAGTTGTACTTTGTCTGTTACTTCATGTCTTCTTTTGACAAATTATTTAATAAAGAGTCTTAATATTACATCTCTTTAATTTTCTAAAAAAACATGCCAAAACATCTCTGCAATGTATATTATTCTTTGATATGTAGTTAATAGATATAAATACCTATTTGATCAACAATTATATGTTAACTTTTTATTAGTGTTATTATTATTCTTAGTTTAAACTATCAAAACATCTTAAGCAAGTATTAAAGTAACTATTAGATTTAATACACCAACTTGTAATTGTACAAACATCTTTTGAAAGTCTTCTATTATATAACTGTTGTTATACCTAGATAATTATTATTTATCTAGGTAAACATTTCTAGTAAACTAATATCCAGTAGCATATGAACTCAAAACCCATTTCGCCAAAATCAGAAACATTTGCTCGTGCCAAAAGCGCCTTATCGGCATCATTCAAAAACGGCTATAATTGTTGAACATGGGTACAAATCACACTCATTTTATCCATGCATTCAAAGGATACATAGCCAATGCAAATGTGCAATGCCTTGGGTAGTAATAATCAATGCATGAAGTAAGAGTTTTTCAATGTTTCCATGTAACAAGGATCAGTTTTCCTGGAGTTGACGATTACAGTGCGTGAGTGAGTGAGTTTACAGTTGAATGAAGCTGCAATCTACACAAAGAATTGAAGAAAGCAATCACTCTTGCTGTACACTGTCTCCATAGATTGATTGTCCAAGGGACTCCTTTCATGATAAACCCATATTCGGCAGGAATGGAGGAGATATTGATCTTGTCAAGAGAGGAAGAAATCCACCGACACCCGTTGGCAAGCACTGAGGAGCAACTGTTTTTTTATGTATGTATGTATTCTAGATTGTTTCAATGTTTTCTGTCTTGAAACCAACTTGCTTGTTGACAATACCGTGCACAATCCAGTGGTTTTGCTGCTGTATGTTGCCCAGGATACTGAAGCCTGTGCTCGCAGCCATAGCCAAGCAATCGCTGCCCAGCGTATCGACTGCAACGAAGATGTTCTCGGGAGGGAGGGGGAGGGAGGGTGAAATCCACACCAGTGAAATGAAACACCATGGAAGGGTAGGTCGGCGTGGTGCCTCCCGCTGTGGAGAAGCAGTAGTTTAGTCCATATGAGGATCCGTTCACTTCTGGGTATGGAATCGCCTCCTTACATGCCTGATTACACAACCATCACATACATTTATCTGACATGGGCTTCAGGCATATGAGGTTCTGGCAGGTTGGGTTTGTCTATATTGGGTCAAGCATTCGCCAAGTGGTTGTGTACATGTATTGCGTAGCAAAAGAGGGATTTTGTATGGGATTTTACCGCTACTACAGCAGTGAAAGCGGCAGTGTTGAGGTACGTGAGCGTCGTTCCTGAGTCCAGAATGAAGCCTCCCTGTCCGGATGTATCGATGCTGAACGTTCCTGCTGGGTAGTTCACGGCTTTGCCTGCAACAGAGATACCCGTGAGTCCAACATAATAAAACGAAGGATTGACGATGTTGTTGAGCAAGGGCGTGTATGCGATGTCTGATCCTGCTGCAGCTGAGTCTCCGATGTACATGGGACTAGTTTTGTTGATTCCTAATGGCACCAAGCAGTAGGAAAATATTTTGCTCGTGATGGCGCCTGCTTGGGAGATTAGCGACAATGGGCCCTGGCCGAGTCCCATGAGTCCTCCCGCACCAGCGAAGGTGCCCAAGTTGCGATGGCCGCAGCCAAAAGCAACATTGGTGATCGTGCTTGTGCGAATAGTTATTGAGTCAAATGACAGTGCGCCGCTGGTTGAGGAGTCATCGCCATACATGTAGTTGTACTGGCAGCTTGTGTTGCATGACTGATATGGCAGACCCTGCATCAAGCCAGCATCAGCATTTGCAAGCGACAGATCAGTCAAGAGGGAGGATTGAAAACAGAGAAGCATCAGCCGCGAAGGTGTTGGAAGGTATTTTGCAAAAGGTGCTGGTGCACTTCACTGCTGCGTAGCTTGACGACTTGGTCGGGTCGAATTTGGCTCTGATTGCTGTGTAGCAGGATTGGCAAGGCAAACATTGAACCCAAATCAAGTCGCTGCCGGTGTCCACTATGGCAGATGCTTTTTGTGGTGGGCTGCCAAAGGATAAGTCAATAAGGTATTCTCCATTCCCCGATGCGATAGGGGTTGAGAATATTTTTCCCGCTGCAAGGATCTTCTGAGAGAGTCGAGCGCGTCGTTTGGCACCGCGCTTCACAGCTGCGAGGAATATTTCGCTAGAGGTTTGTTGTGCCGTCGATCTCATCGGCGACGAGGGATGCTCTCTGTGGATCAGCTCTGTTCTAAACAACTGAAACAGAAACCATTCCATGAATTAGATGCTAGGTTCTGAATTTCCCCTTAACATCATCCCTCATAGGTCAGGATTCTCATCGAAGTAAGCAGATCCTGTGAATTATCAGCATGACAAGACGTTTTCAGGGTTTCTTGACGACGACATATTCCAAGGCCAGTGCATAAAATTAGAGAGTGAGAGAGGCCGGAGAAGGGACTTCCCTTGTCATTGAGCTCGGAATCTATGGCCGCGAGAGTCTGGGTCATTGAAACGCAACCCGCGAAGAATAGTGTCGACACAAACAAAGCCTGGCACATCATGACTGCCATTCCAGTACCTCTCTCGCTTCCTCGGTAAGTGCAACGCATTTAGCCAGGCAGCAACACCTCGTATGATTATGACGAGAACAGTGCACTAAAGGGTGACGCTCTTGGTAGTTAATCGCAGACAGGCCACAAGGAGCGGAGAAGCGCCCACAGAAGCAGCCTGCACCCTTGAGATCGAAGCTGGCTTTGTCAACCAATTGTATTATCTTAAGATGTGAAGAGAATTATGTAGTCCTACATCCAAGTGCTTTATACCTTAGCATGGCCATGGGTGCTCGTCTCTTAAATCAGCCGCTATGATGTAGAGGACTCCAGGTTCCATTCAATTTTAGCTGTCAGATGGATATTAACAATCACGAAAACATTTTTATCGGTGACGTGGTGGTGTTTGATTAAAATATATAGAGAGTGTACTTTGGCGAGAACAATTCGTAGGTTACGTTGAAATTGCTTCTCTGATCAATTTTTTTTTTTTTTTTATCTTTTATTTTATTTTATTTTATTTTCCTGTAATTTGGCTCTAAAGTTCGAAATTTTTTGAGGCTATGACTGTGAATCTGGCTGTCGAGGAGTAATACTTCCTGATTTGAGAAACTGACAATCGTTGCCGCTCATAATGATAGAGAAGAAGCAGATGTGTCGGTTTCCAACCAGTTCTAATCAATCGAATGCTCTTGCTTCATCAAGTTCCCCGAACTCTCCCGATATCTTTCACCGAACTTACTGAGTGGGCAGTTCAGGAAAGCTTCGTCTGTAGCTAATATGTATTGAAGACCCTGCCAGTTGTGGTTTTTTTTTTTCACATTCTCTGTTGCTAGACAGCTCAGCGCTTGAACACAGCGACGAGCTAGAGCCACAAAATCCTGTTGAAGCGTTTCCGTGAAAAACACATCACAACATTCTCTGGTTTGCGTGTGGATTTTGCAAAGAACTTGTGACGACTTTTTCGTGATCCGCTCGCTTTCGCCAAATAATGTCATGGCCCACTAGCCTTCATTTTTCATAACGTTCTTTTTGGTTAATTTTTTTCTTGGAGATCGGGGCCCTCGGTCTACTTTTGCCTCAACAGCCTCGTTCGACGCAGATTAATGCCTTGGTTCCCAATGTGTTTCTAAGCTGTCAATCTGTGCAAGTCCCACCAGTTTTATTTGTTTTTGTTCTTTTTCTCATGTTTGTTTGTTTGAATGTATTTCACATCAAAGCACAATTTCCTGGTTGTGAACGTCCAGACGTAAGGGTTCAGGGTTCTGGGTTTAGATTAGGAGAATTGAATCTCAAATCAAAATCTTCTCTTGGTGGGAGTCTGTCTGTGATCGATTGCGCTCGTGATACAGTTATATATACTGATGAACTTCGTGGTGCACAGGCAAATCAATGACTGTCAAATATGCTTGGCATCAGAGATGTTGCACTCCCAATCCTCTTCGGATCTCGGATTCAACATCCTCGTCTCCGTCATGAGCATCTGGTGCACTCCACTTAACAGTGCACACGCCAACTAGTTGCCTCATGAACGCGGCGCACCGCGGAATCCATCTTCCATTCAAATGTGCATTACCCAATACACTCTTTCCTCAACGGGCATCGGGTACATGAGTCTAACGTCTAATTCTTCACAAATGAGTGGCAACGACGTAAAAAATCTGCAAGCCGTACTAGTTTCTGACACCATCGACGCGTGCGCAAGTTATGTTAACTCTTGCAGGCCAGCATCCCCCTTTGTTCACTGCTCATTACCCTCAATCATTAATTCAGTTGTTAGTGCATGGCAGAGGCGATTTGTTAGAGGAATGTTGTTATCATAGGTAGCAATCCAATTTGCTTGCACGATTATCAATTTCTGCCGTAGAGTGATCGTGGGTCCTGAAAAGACTTGGTGAGCTTGTGTTGCAGCTAGACATTCCAGCGGCACTAGCTCGCGGGCACTGTCATGCTTCTTCTGGCGATGTGGCTGGGCACTAACTGGCTCCATCCGGGGCCCTAATGAGAGCTCTGCTTTCTAAGAAAGTGTAGCAAGGGACAAAAAACACCCACGCTCTTCAGTTACTTGAGATTTGGACTGGATGCTGATGATTGGTGGTGCTTGCCTAACTTCTCTCACCGTAGCTCTTGTGGAAATTAAGTCCGTGTGCATGATGTGGTCGGCGACCTTCTTCTTCCAAGTGTGTGGGTTGAATTTTTCATATCACAGAATCAACAAGGACGAGTTTTTAACAATCCTTCGACTCGCGACAATTGCATGATACCCCCACAAGCAAGTACCAATCCTTCCATTTCTGAACAGAAAATTTCCGGACGCTATCAGGAACTAAAAAAACCACCACATTGGAGTAATGATCTCAAGCAGATTGAAGTATTTCTCGTTGGCAGCAAATTGTCGCTCTTGCTTAGAAATTTCTGCAAGGAAAAGTGAAGCAGAAGAAGCAACAATGACTCTTGTAGAGAGGACCCAGACACTGTGAATGTGTGCCTGTAACCTCTACCAGATACAATTGTGGGTGCAGAAACTTTTAAACAAAAATAAATAAATAAATAAATAAATTGTAATACAGGTTTCCGTATGTTGTGCTCATTTGGTGTGATGAATTTCAAAAGACTTTGGTAGATTTGGAGCGCAGTCTAATTTGACAATGACCTAAGTTGTGAACACTATTTGTCCAGTGATGCGATAGCCACTGGTCCCTACTGCTGCACAACCACGCAATTGGGTTTCACGTGTGACCACTATAGGGACGGAAGGTCGTCTCGAGCCTCGCCTGCTTGTGGGCCACTCGTTTTGCTCTGCTCCCTTTGAAGCTTGCAAGCCATGAGTGTGATGTCTACCAACCTGCTGGTGCGCCATGGCCATGGTTCCCAACAAAACGACGCAATTCTCGTTGGACCACTTGTGTTGAAGAACATCTCAATTTGAAAATAAAAGAGAAAAACAGCAACAAAACAAACCGAACAAAACAAAACAAAACAAAACAAAGAATTTACCTCTCTCGGATGGTTCTTAATGATATTCCTCTCCACTTCATGTTCAATATCTGTGAAACCAGCTCCAATGGTTGAAGTGGTAGCAGAGTTTGGCTCGATATACCAACTTTATTTGTTGGCATTTAATCTCGTACTCTTAAAACGTCGATACCCTACCGGCTGCCCTAGTGACGTCGAAATCATGCGCACAGTTGGATCGACCGATGCGGAGCCGGGAGTATTGATTTAGTTCTTATGAATCGTACGATGAGATTCATAAGAACGGTACTTGAGATGCCTACGAATCTCATCATTACTATGTTCGCATCTGTAATTTCAAATAGTTTCATGTGCATCTCAAGGATTGATAGATTAACATCGACTCGAAGCTTCTATTTGATTTTGTGTGTGCAGGTTTGCAAGCAGATTTGCGAGCTCACGTGATGTAAATTGAAAACCTTGCACAAACTGCACAATCGGTGTATTTCCTGAAATGCCCCACTTCCTAATGTTGCCATCGAATGGCGCGTCCCTCCGGCCTAGCATTATCAAGTTGTTGAGCTTTCAGTTGATGCGAAGTCCAGTTTGCCGCTAGGTGTTGGGATTGAAGCTTGCATGGAGCAGGCTGTTGTTGGTGATTCATGTTGACGCTGTAGGATTTGGCTTCGAAGAGCAGAGTTTGTGGTCAATGTGGTCGTGTGGAGGAGGAGGAGGAGGGTTCCTTCTGCCAGGGTCTCGATGAAAGTGCAGGGTCAGATGGCAAGTAGGAGAATCCTAAAGAGATGATGCCGGAACCCGATTCGAAAATGCAATTTGTTGTGCCTCGGAGCGATTCGGTTGATATCATGAAGTGCTAGCTTAGCAGTGTGATTTCACGGGGTTTAAATGTCGGTAGTTGTTATGCAGCCCGACTTTCGCATTTCTTTTCGGAATCAACTTAGCCACACAAAACTGAAGGGGCGTATCGTCATGTTGCTCATCCATATCCAGACCCGAAAATTAAACAAAAACTTCCTTCTGCACGTTTCATGACTACTGACACTAGTTGACGGTGTGCAGTCTTAATTGGGTGCATTCTCAATTTCATGCGTTACGGATTTTGAACAGGAGTTTCAAGGATTCCGGATTGTTTGTGAAGCTGTGAGATTACTTACGCTGAGTAATACTTCCCTTTGAGGCTTGCTTAGTCTGCCACTTCACGAGTCGCTGCCACCTTTCTCCGTTTCCAGTGTAAGCCTGGCGCGTTGGGAAAATTTAGCAGGAATGGGAGAGTCCTTGAAGGCTTTACCTGTTGCTCGCTTCTTCAGAGGCCCATGGCAGCCAAGAACCTGCATAAAACATCCACTTAAACAGGTATGAAGAACGAAAGGCTTGTACTTCCTGAAGCAACGAATTTCAGCTTCCTGTGCGAAGTTCTGATTATTGGTTGCCAACAGGCTTGATTGGTTTCCGTGTTGACAGTCGCGTTTGCTATCGACCAGATGATAAACCAGATGACAAGCTCCTCACAACTCTATCGTCAAAAAATAAACCAATACTGACCTTTGCATTGACGCCGTCGTTAACAATGCGATTTTCTTCTTTCCACTTGAGGTAGTCCTGGCGTGCAAATTTTGTAAAACCCCTGTTTTGGCAATAGTATCAGCGGATCCACTGTAAACGCAATAACATGTAGAATGATACCATACCCAGTACAGAGCACAAGAAAGATATTCTGTAGTGTGTTCTGACTTAACAACTGTCTTGAGAAATGCTGCTGCTATGCATACCACTTCCTGCTCACTATGATTTTCTGGCGACCAGGGAACTTGAACTTGGCGCGGCGGAGAGCTTCTTGCGCATGGATGTTATTGTTGTCTTTGCACCTCACAGACAACAAGACCTGTCCAATATTCACTCGTGCGCAAACACCCAGAGGTTTTCCAAAGGCGCCTCGCATCCCTGTCTGCAGCCTGTCAGCTCCAGCGCACGATAACATCTTGTTGATTCGCAGCACATGGTATGGATGCACGCGGATCCGCAGATGGAACGAGTCCTTTCCAGCAAATTTGGTCATGTACTTGTTACAAGCGATGCGGGCTGCTTCGAGCGCCTCACTTGACACATTTTCTCCCAGCTCACCAGGTGCACACAGAATGGGAACTCGTCTACGCCCTTTCTCTTCATGCCCACGTCGTAGATGCGAAGCTTTGGATCCGGGACTCCTCTACAAAAACGTGATTTAGGGTACGGTTTGTTCTTAATTTGGCGGTAACACCTCGCAGGACCTGCAACGCACACAGCCAGTGTAACTAATCTTCCATGTCCAACATAGTATCAATGGTAATCGGCTAAGCAAACATTGAAGAATTTGCAATGAATCTCTGGAACCAGTGCAAAGATCTCATCTGATGGCATCTTTTGTTTCCAATACCACGCTCGGGTTCAGAAGCGAAGCTGCAAGAATGACCTCTCTACTATGTCAAGAAAACCGCAATTGAACGACCCCCACTCTCGTCATATCTTCCCTGAAAGATTCAGAAAAAATGCGAGTAAAAGTAAGTGCAAATACGAATGGTCTCACTCACGGCGACCCATTGCGACGAGATTGATCAGTTGTCCTAGGAAGTCGAATGCGGCATCGGCATCGGAAGTATTCAGGCTTCGGCACCTTCGTGATCCAAATAAATTCATTGAACTAGAAATTCTTGGTCCTTCAGCTACAAACTCCAACCGTAGTAACTGCCATGATCTGTACCAGACAGTTTACGTGCCTGCGACAGTAACGAACCGTAATAGTGATGAGAAAACATTCCTGCAGATATGCGCAATGGCCAGGTCACTTAATGACGACAGTGGAGTTTATAACCCAAGGTTTTACTTCGCATCATTTTCTAGTGTGCAATTCGCGTGCCTTTGCTCTAAAACCAACAGTAAGCTCTAGATACCACCGCTGAGGCATGATTATCTTATACCAGGGAAACAAACGAGAAATCTAAAATGATTATCGATGCCATCTTAAGCTGTCCACTGCAAATTCACCCTAAATCAGGTCATGGCAAGATGTTCACAGTTGTCGACAAAGATGAGAACGATCGGTCGAACAGGAACTATCAGTCGGTGCTAACACCACTATCACCGAATTCCCCTGTAAGAAAATTAAAAAATAATCGACTTCTACAAGCTTCCTGAAACTGTGAAGATATTACTCGTTATGCCAAAGCTATCAATGAACACAAATTGGAACCAACGATTAAACTCACCAAAAACTGATAATGCATCACAGTGCAGACTTCACCGACTTGGGTTTCCGACTGGTTTTGAGGCAGAGTCGAAAACCGCATTGAGAGACACATCGCACTAAACTTTTTAAAAAAACATTAAAGAAAAAAGTAGTGAAAAGTTGTAAAAACTATCGATATCTCACCGATATCAAGTCCTGTACGAAAACCATCGACCATGTTGGTAGAAATAGGCAGCTACATAACATTGTTTTGAATACATGGGTTCTGTTACATTTAGGGCTTGAGAAGAGAGTAGAAATCAACCAATCAATGTGTCATGTTTTTAATAGAACTGGGCAGTTCACTTAGAATTCCATACACTATTGATTGTAATTTTTTTACAGTAGTAATTTTCCTCATTCAAACCTAATTTGGTTATTTTCAAAAGCATAGATTTGCAAACTATATTGAAAGGGTGGTGAGGTAGTTAAGTACATTAGATAATGTTTTTTTTTAATAAATTGATATGGATTAATTAAAAAGCAATAATTTTAAGTATAATTAATAAAATTTCATATTACTTTATAAGTATTTTATGAAGAGGTAGTAGATAAAAAAACATAAAAATTTAAATATGTAAATTTCGATTTTAAAAAAACATAAAAAATAAAAATAAAAAATAAATTTAAACATGTGCATTTTACATAAATTTTTATGTTTACTTTTTTCTTTTTCTTCTTCTTTTTCGAGTTATTGTCACAAACATACATTTTTACTTAGATTAAAGGAATTAGATAGAAGTAAATAGAAGTAAGTAAAATTAATAATATCTTATAGAAATGCTTCTTAGAAGTTTCATAAATGTGGATTTGACTTTATACATGTTTGTAGGTGATTTGTAGGTTAAAAACTTGGCCAATAAATTAGCTGTGTGTCATATATGTTGGTAATTTGTGAAACAAACTGGCCATGTGGCACACATATAAAAAAAACTTGTCTTGCAAGCTTGACATTTGTCTTGCAAGTTGGATCCATATAGAAAGTCCTACATAATATTATCATGTAGCTCCTAGTCACATAGAATACATAGAAGCAAGAGTGAGGTCTCTCTTACTCTCATCAATACCTTTTTCGTTCTTAGTATTATTTCCATAATCTCTAATCTTTGGCAATAGTCATTGTAGTCTTAATATTATACCATCTTTGAGTCATTATCTACTCTTTTCTAGTGACATAAGAGTAAATTGTCCCTTTAGTTCTTTGTGATTTATATCCTCAATAGTTTTCTTCTTTTATTGCTAAATATCATAAAAAAATAAGTTATAGATTAAAGATTGAAGGTTGAAAAAACTAAATATATAAAGTTAATATTCCTTTAAATGAGAAGTTTAAATAAATTTATTTTTTAAAAAAATACTCATTAAAATTAGTAATCTAAAATACAGGAGTGATTACATTTTTTCAAAAAAAGATATCCTAATGGCTCAAAATCCTTAAGTAATGAAATTTGATTAAAAAAAGATAGTGCAAATAACAGTGACATAAGTCAAAATTAAAACCATCTACAATACATTGTAGAAAGAATTATAACAACCATTGCTATAATTAAAATTCAAATACACAACCTACTTGTTATATAACATTCTTTAAGTTATAAAACATCCTACTAGCTTTGCAAATAGCTCTTCCAACTTATACTTGTAAATTTAAAAATAAAAATATATATATTTAAAATATTTGTCCCTTCTTGCAAAGCTTAGGCAAAACCACCAAATAGTAGCATAAAAGACATCATCTATCTTAGACTAAATCATGTAAATAAATTTTTTTTAAGTAATATCTATTTATTGGTTGAAAATAGGAATTTGTTTATAGAATCTATTAATAAGAAACCTCAAATTGATTATTTGTAAAAAAATTAATTTAAAAATATTGTATGATTCAAAAAAATTCAAAAAAATTAAAACCAAAAATTTTATAATAAAGTTTCTATGCTTTGTAACATAGTTATAAAATAACACTATTTTGAAATATATACACTTGTAAATATATTTTTTTTTCTATTGAAAAATTGTAACTTTTGGTAAATAATCAAAATTTGAAGTTATTGTAGGATTATTAGAAGGTCATTTTCTACTCTAAGTCTTACATTTATGCTTCATATCTTTGGTCAAATTAGTACAACAGTCTCATACATTATTGGAATATAAAAATCTTTTGTTGTTTTCTTTTAGCTTAAAATTTTATTTGTATACTTACCTTTTAAAAAATGATACTATGTACACACAAGTAAAAATATGTAGTTACAGAAGATTTATTTATTTATTTATTTTTGTTCTACAATCCCTTCAATAAAACTCTCAGTCCGTAGAGGTATTTTTATTAAATCTTTTATGGTAACATATGTTACAGGAGCAAAATTTGAACCAATTTTAATCTTTTTGAGACATCTCTGAAATGATGCTGATCTTGTGATACCCAATGAATTTTATAAATTTTCAAAGCTACTCATGTATCCTGCATTTCTTCAATAAATTTTTTTATCCATCTCATTTTCGAAAAATGTAAAATTCTTTTACATGCACAATCAGTCATTTTCTTTAATCACCAGATTGATTCCCTGGGATAAGACCCATCATCAAGTTGAATGCTCTGAATACAGGCTTATTCAATATATGTATATATATATATATATATGTATATAATGCTCATATCAGTGGTGTAGAGCCAGGATTTGCATCCATGCAGATCGGGCTTCACAATCTCGGCATAGGTGCACTTCGATGAGATTGCACTTTGTCTAATTTTACTCACCCCATCAGAAAAAATGTAAATATAACCAATCGCACGATGTCTTGGATGGATTCTCCACCGCCTAAACCAAGCCACTTTTGAAGCAGTGAAGCAAGACGACAACGTGATTTGTCTGGTGCAAATGTAGGGGTTCCAATGGCGTCATGGGCTAAAGTGGAGGCTGGCCACCTTTCGCATCTTTCACGGTTCGCTTTCCAGCTTCACAGTATTAATCTGGGCACCATAAGTTGGATTCGAGAATCTGGGCTTCACTCACTAGCTGCAGGTGAAGAAAGATGTTTCATATTCCTGGCCAGTCATGCACTGCTCGACACCATGGCCCATAAGTGCTGAAAGCGGAGAAGCAGGATGAAAGATCCGAGACCTTGGCAGCTACCGGTGAAGTAAAAATGATCCCACTGGACCGATGGTGGCAGCGGTGGAGAGCGAGAGATGAGAAGAAGTCAAGGTTAGATGGAGGATGGAGAGAAGTTTTGTTCGCTCCACTCTCTGCGTCCCAGCGTTTGCCCACCCTTCACTCACTTCATGGTTATCGTCTCATCAGAGGGCCCCTAGTTCTCAGTCTTGGACTGAACAGAGACCTTAGTTTCTGATTCGGCTAGGTTTTGGAACCATTCCCATTTCGGAAGTTTGTGTAAGGGTTTGAGACAAGTCGTCGAAAATCAGTCCTTCAGAAGTGGGGTTCATCAGATTATGAAAGTGACGTGATCATTAGATGAAATCACCCACGATACCACATCCCGAGTTGCTCAATGCTGTCTTTTCAACAGCATCGGATATCTCAAATAACGTAATCCGATTTCTAGAATAATGACGAACATACTAAAAATCGACAATCGACCGCTAATGCAAAGTAGTTCCTTTCACCCACACCTCCCATGAGAGTGGCAACTTGTTCTGTTGACAAAGCGTGGTCAATGAGATCTTGTTGTCAAACTCAAACTATCCATGAAATTTCTTCGTAATCTGGAGCAGTGAATCGTTTGGGTCTAAATGCGTCTGAAAGAATACCAGTAACAGAATCAGCTGTGTCTGAGCAGCGGTGTTTTGGAGAGCACTGCTCATTGAAACGGCGACAGTTGCTACGGATGTTAAGTGCTCTAATGTTACCACTTGAACCATCCTCAGCAACTTGTTAAAAAGGTGACAAAAAGTCGAGAAGTGAGGATCATAGCAAAGGCAGTTCATTAAGGAAGTTGCAGTGGTATAATAGTGGGCTTCATTAGATGTGGAGTGGAGTGGAGAATTTGCAGGAGAGGAAATCCACTCGGAATCATTTCGGTCTTTATGACAACTGGAAACTTTGAACTTTTGTTAAAGCAGATGAAAACTTGAAGGGGCTCAACAAAGCAGCTTCAGGGGTGACCAAAATCAAATAAAATTTCAAAATATGCCACAGATTTTTTTCCATCCTTCCTCTTTTGCACAAAAGATTCTTTAGTTATAACTCACGTGGAGATTTTTCTTAGTTTTGATAGTCGCCACGACTTTTCTACTATTCTCCTTTCACCTTCAACTTGCCTATAATATTGGAATAATCGTTGATTTATTTATTATATTTCTCAATAGAAGGAGCACATAATAAAGTATTACAAAACATTCTTCAAACTTAGGTTTCAAGGATAAATCAAAAATTGACTAGATTGAAGTGAAGGTGCTATGTTGAATTTAAGAACATCAATGTCCAAATTTTATGAAACAAGTACATGGACAAAAAAGTACGTTATTAAGTATAGGAATAAAGTATATCAACTCAGAAAGTTTAAACGTCTGCATGCAAACATGTTAATAAAACATTTGTTGTGCAGTAGTACACACACAAATCCATCGTTCATGTGCAGTCACTTGTAGGAAAACTCATGTTATATTCATTCAATGGTGAGAAATACAACATAGAACTCAATTCCTACTTTATGAGTCAGTGCATTTGGCCTTAACACATCCGATGCGCTGCTAACAATCCTGTGAACCGTTCCATGAACTTCAGACAATGGAGAATTCTACGAGCTTGCTTGGTCACGCTAGCCTCCACGAATTCAGACATTCCGAAAGGCTTTCATGTAATTCACTGCCCCCAATTTTCTTATTCGATCAATGATATGAAATATGTGTGTGTGTAAATGTGTGTTGATATCACAAGGGTGGGACGTGCGTGGTGAATGCATTAGCTGCTGGTTTTGACTTAAACCTCCGCGCCCTCCTTGATGCCCTTCAACCCATCTGGCTTCCCATCCTCAGGAGGGCTCTTGCTGCCCTTACTCCTTCCTCGCTCCGACTTGGCATTCTCTGCGAACTTCAAGCTCGCCTGATGCAGCCCTTGATCCTGCTCTCCCTCGCTGTACTCCGAAGCGTAATAGTCCTCCTCCGTCATCCTCGACGATTTGAAAAACATGCTTCCCCACTGCGGGAACCACACGAACAGCACCAGCGCCGTGCAGCAGATGATCATGATTCCCATGTTCTCAATACCCACCTCCGTGTGGTACGTGGCTTGGGTGAAGAAAATCGTCTGCGTTAGCACCGCACCGACGTTGCCTCCTGCTCCGGTAAACCCAGAGATCACACCCAGCGACCGTCGAGACACGAATGGAATCACGCCGAACGTCGCACCGCACGCGGCCTGGACGAAGAAGGAGAACACAATCATGACCCCGATAGCGGGTCCCAGCGCTGCTGTCTTGCCCAGAACGATGCAGAATACGCCTCCCAAGGTCTGGATGATCCACAAGTTCCACAGCCGTCCTTGCATTCCATACCTCCTTGCGACGACGTCAGACAATATTCCTCCCAGTGGCCGAGAGACAATGTTCATGAACCCGAAGCTGGAAGCAATGATTCCAGCGCTGGACAAGCTCAATCCGAAGCGATCGTAGAAATACTCAGCAATGATGTTGTCGACGGTGAGTTCGACTCCAAAGCAGTAGCCGTAGGTGATCAAGAAAATCCATGTCCTGTAGTTCGTGACCGCATTAAAGAATACCTGCAATTTGAAGTTTGATAACAAATCGGTCAATGTCGAATTCCAAGTGGTGAACACTATACTTCAATGGGTACTTACTACCACTGTCTACTGAAAACAGCAGCATACGGTAGGTCACAGTCCAAGGCTGTCGAAGAATTGGATCAGGAGTCAAAAGGAACCGACCTTCCTGAAGCTGTCCTTGACTTTGGTTCCTTGCTCCTGAAGCTCCTTGAAGTTGCCGTCGGGAAGATCTTGACCCAAAAACAACACCATCAAACCGATGACAGTGTGCATCACACCAGGCAAGAAAAACGACAGTCGCCACGCGGTGTAGCTCGGAGATTTGAAACTGCTCACGCAATTAACCAAAGAAGAGTTAGTGCGTCCGTTGGGTTCAACTGCCATGACCTCCAAGTAAGTATGTAGATTGAAACAAACAATCTAATCTCTACTGCTGCAAGAGTTAAGACGACTGCAAATTAGATGATCATATAAATTTCCCGTGGATTCCAATTGCTTGATAGGTGCTTTACCTGTCTTTGATCAGTGCATACACCAGAGGCATGATCAATTGGGTCGCACCACCTCCCAGGTTACCCCAGCCGGCTGCAATTCCGTTGGCGGTTCCCACAATTTTGCCGTTGAACATGGAACTCATCCAGTACTGGCAGGACACGAATGTGGCTAGGGAGAACCCGATGAAGAACCTGACCGCTGTAAATCCTGCTGCAGTCTCTACCGACGCCATTGCGTACACCGCCGGAGAAATGATCATCACGAGGAATGCGCACCCATATCGCGGACCAATTAAATCGCAAATGCTTCCCATTAATAAACGGGACAGAATCGAACCTGCCATTGACCAAATGCATTATCATGGACATCAGAACTCGGAGCAAGAAAAAGCATGTCACAGAAATTCTGCTGGAGCTTAACTTTTCTGCCATCCACAATATTTAAACTGAAATTGAGCTGAGTCATCTTGGAGGAAGACTCAGTAGGACATCTCCAAATTGTTAACGATTGGGAAAATTCTTACCAGACACGGAGGCGATGGCAGCATGTCCGATGTCCTCTTTAGTCAGGTTCAAGTTATCACGAATTACGGGAATGAGCGGGGGCGCAGCGAAAGTCGACAAGAAACACGTGAAGAAAGAAAACCATGACAAGTGAAAGGTCAACATGTGGGGACGAGCAAAGCTGTAAATCCTCATCGTCGTGGCTTTGTGCTCAGAATCCACCGGCAGCGCAAACTTCTTTGCGTCCGGGTCATGATTCATCTTGTCCCCTTCATGCAAGGAGAATGCATACAAGGCCTCCTTTCCCGTGACGCCATGCATGGATGATCCGGGATCACCCTTAGCATTCCTGTCTCCCACTGCAGACGACGACTGGTCCGCCATCTTGCACTACTACCACTAACTCCACAAAAATCTCCGACGCTTCAACCACCTGGTGAATAATCTACAAAAAGCTACCACATCGTCATGAACAACCAAGCAATGCAGCTCACTCGTTGCCCAAAGTTCTCAGTTCGATCCCAACTTCGGCAAACCAGGAAATGAACGCTACCTTAACGAAGAGGCTGATTTCGTTGAACGTGTGGGGCTAGAGCAGGAACAGCACAGCGAATTTGGACAGCGGCTGGGGGATTCAATGCACTGTGGTCCGAGTCGGACACATTTGACAAAACTTGCGCCGAGAATGAGGACTAAGTACAGGAAACCGGGCTGGCGATGGGATCCATTGGGTGTCACTGGATGGGAAAAGCAGGAGTGGGGTTGAGTATAAGAAGCAATATCTGAGCGACGGCAAGAAGAGTCCACTGACATCAGATTGGTGAACTAGAGCCGTGGATTCGTCTGAATTCGCCTCGCCGCGGAACAATCCTACCTGCCCCCCGCCATCTCCTCCCCGTTTCTCAGGAATTCCTTTTCTGGGCCGCTTGAAGAGAATAGTTCGTTTACTTTACTTACCCACTTTATCAATAATTGTTCATCTCAGATTCGTCCTTTATTCGGGGGCATTTCCTGAGAGTTTATTTCGGTTGTTTGCATTCAGCTCCATCAGTGAGCGGGTGATCTGTCCAAGCCTAATATTTCTTTCGTCTCAAGTATATCATATTGCAGTGGCTGCATCTGTGAAACGGCCGCTCAGTTGGAACCCATCAGTGACCTAACCTAGGATTATTTTGCTTCATCATCCACCTCCGAGCAGCTTCATGAAGTACCCCGTAAATTTTTAGCAGACAGATGCTGTTTTCCGAGATGAATTGCAGGGAACAGACCCCATGGACCTGAGCTACACAGGAATGATTCTCAGTGCTATTTTTGCGTTTGGCTTAGTTTTGGGTTTTGTTCCTTCAACTTCAAAGTGCCCCAAAGATGCTGAGTACCTTCACCTTTAACTTACTAGTACCACTGCAAATAAAATGCTTCTCATAAGACTAGTAATAGTTTACAAGTTGATGCACAAATATGGGTCACATACTAAGTCCCTCGATATGCTGCATGTTATGAGATATACTTTTCCAAAAAATCAAATTCTACTGGTGCTAATAATTGCAAGGAAAATGGACGGAGAGGAGAGAAATTTAATGAATTAATACTGTTAATATCCTGAGTCAACTTGCAATTCCATGAAATTTTCACTCCCTTTCTAAATAATATCCACTTTATTGGATGCTTGTGTATAAAAACATATTTTTATTTTAATAAATTCTGCGAAAGAAGTACATGAAGGGACGCAGGTTTGCATGATAAGGTTATCTCCTTGCTGAGTGGATGAAACCAAGGATCACATGACCCCGTCCCCAGTTGTCTGTCATACCAACGCAAACCTAAATCCTGGCACACTTGTTGCAGGTTGGGTCGAAGTCCAGGCATCCTTGTGGCCACGCACAGCTCTACCTACTTCCGGAACCTTTGAAGCAAGGACCTGCTGCGCTGCAACCACCACCACCAGTACCTCGTCCTCCGCGGTCGGTATGCCGCAGCGGACGAAAAGAATTGTTGAGCTCTTACCGCTTCGGCACATTAGGGCTTCCTTTCGCACTCGCAGACTGATCGTGGAATCTCGTGATCGGCAGCTGATGTGTGCGACCTGGGTGTTCAAACCCTCCCGAATCGGGTCTTTCGGGAGCTTTTCACCATTTCCATCGTGGCAAGTTTCTAGCATATTTCGCATCGACGTCCAGTACCGTACGGAATTTGCCGTCACATGAACTGTACCTGGAAGGACGAAGCCTTAATTTGTTCTCAAACTGGACACTAGTGGGGTCTACACTCATTGCCGAATCCTTTATGTAAAATTGGTCCAGGCCTAGTCTTCGCTGTGCGACAAATTTCTGCGGAAATCCGCTAACCCTGATCAGCAATATTTCACCCTCAGGTTTCTGTAAACTTGCACAGACAAACTGCGAAGTCCACTGCCAGGTTTTTCATGGTAATCTTCCGCCTCGAACGAAAAATTCCCATAGAGGATGCAGACAGGGAGGTGATTACATATATTGCCAGATGGTCCAATCAATGGTGTTTACTTAGAGGGAATCTAGCGAATGAGAGAACACGACCACGAGGTAAAAAATCACAGAAATAACTACTTGTGAGGTAGTGAGAATGAGACCTCAATATGTTGCAAGAATGGGACATCTCCAATGACTAGCTACCTAGTGACCCCAGACGTATCACAACGCATCGAACCCTCAAGATCTGATTCAGGAAAGTTGCGACGATCAAACATCAGATTTTACAAATAACCACGCTGGAGTGCCCTAACGCTCTAGGATGCAGCGGATCGGACCATGCAGCTTCACTGAATCCGAGTTCCAGCCCTACTTTCTGGAAAGACACAAGTTGGAATTTCTAATAATAGTCGGAGTGCCTATTCCTGTTCCACTCGCGGCACTGGCTTAGTGCGACAATCCAAGTGTGCGCGACGCAGCTACGATTCTTCGTGGAGCTCACTGCTCTTGAGCGACGCTCGTCGATCATGCTTGTGCTTCAGGGCCTCCTCCCGTTGTCGACCTGGACTGTTGTCTAAGCCGTGCTTCTTCCATCGCCTCCTCCAGACGCTGCGAGGACTCCGCCGCCATCGCCATCGCCACCTTGCGACCGATTTCATAAACAGCTCAAAACACAAGCTGCATTGAAAACTATACAATAAAATTTGCTTGCTGCTACAGTTTCTTGGACACCAAGCTATCTAGGTTCATCGATTTGTATGGACAATTAGGTTTTAAATGAATGTGTTACATGTGTGTGTGTATATATATATATATATATATATATAATAACTCAAGGAAAGGATAATTCTTAGAAGGATATGGGCCAAGGTGCTACATGGATATCCAATTAGATTCTCATAGACCTAAGTTTGAGATTGTAAGAATTTACATAGATTTTGTGTAGGTAGAGAAAAGGTGTTTTGTAGTTAGAAATCATAAATAGAAGTATAATGAGAGGTCAACATAATAATCATATTTTTAATGTGAAAGAAGATTTTATACATATAAGTGAATGCATATATATATATATATATATATATACATATATATGCTTAAAAAGATGCTCTTGTTTATTAGAAAAATAATTTTTTTGTAAAATAAATAAATAAAAATCTTTTGTAAGTAAAAGAAATAAGATAATATATAGAATATATTTTTTATATGGTTTTATCTTTGAGTTGGATTGTATCTAAAGATGATGAAATTATATGATGAAATTATATGTTTTGATAAACAAGTGGTGATTAATATTAGAAATACCTATATTACCTAAATAAATAAAAGTAAGTAAAAATAGATAAACTTAATAATATCTTGAAGAAATACTTATTAAAAGTTTTATAGATGCAATTTTACTTTTATACATATCTGACTATGTCATAGACATATGTAATTACTCCAATAACTACCTACATGATTAGATAGAAGTAGATAAATGTAGATTGATTTCACAATATTTTTTAGAAAAGCTTCATTGATGCAATTTTGACTTTGTAAGTATTAGTAATTGATTGATAGGTTAGAAACTCAGTCAACAAGTTAATCACATGTCACACATGTTGGTAGCTTATAGGACAAGCTAACTATGTGGCATACACATAAAAAACTTGTTTTGTAAGTCAAGACATATATCTTGCAAAGTTAACATGTCTTGGAGGTCCTATAAGACATTGCTATATAACTCCTAGTTAGATAGTATATATAGAAGCAAGAGTAAAGCCTTCTTTACTCTTGTCAGTGCCTTTTTAATCCATAGTCTTTTTTTAAAACTTTCTTAATATTCTTGTCTTTGGAAATAGTCATTTTAATTCAATATATTACCATCTTTGAGTGATTTTTTAATCTTTTGAATGACACAAGAATGTATTGAGGATTTCTTTCTTCAAGATTTATGTCTTTAAAAATTTAACAAGATTACTAACTTATTTTTCTTGACTTGTTTTAGAAGTAAATTGATTGTAATACTTCTATTATTTTATTTTTTAAGATTATAGACTATCTACCTTAAAACAAACAATTTAATTTTTTAACAATGATTTTTTCTTTAAAAAAAATTAAATTACCCTTTTTTATTGAATTTTTCATTTGATATTAGAAGTTACAAATTATCTTCTTTTAATTTAACTTTTTGAATTTTTTTGAGTTGTCTATAGAAAAAAACATTATAGATACTACACTCAGTAAAAGTGAAAATAAATTTGCAACTATTGCAAATCTTCATAAGCTTGTGAACACTTTAAGATTAGAAATCTCATATATTTCTAACAAGGATTATAGAGGTTTTGTTCCTACACATATGAAAAAAATCCAAAATCTATGCAAGAAGTTGTGTAGTTGAAGGAAGTAAGTAGATCAACCTCACAACCAAATTCAGAAAGTTTTGCTTCTACAAGCATAAGAGAAACAAAGATTAGTATGCTCAAGAAGTTTGATGGAACAAGATTAAAATTTCAAGGATTTTTGCAACAAGTTGAGCTCTATTTAAGGTTGCATTCTTTCCAAAATTCTAATGGATTTACTCAAGTTAGATTCATAAGCACACTTCTATTGAAAAATGCTCCCTATTAATTGCATCTATCTTAGAAAAAAATTCACAACTATTCTATGATTTGAATTCATTCTTAAAAGTATTTATGGCTATATTTAGAAAAAATAATTGAAAAAAGATAGTAGTGACCAAGTTCATATTGCTACAACAAAGATCACATTCAATCACAATATATGCTATTAAATTCCAAAATCTTGCTTGTGGCATAGATTAGAATGACAAAGCCCTTATCAATCAATTTTGATATGAATTAAAAGATAATGTCAAAGATTTATTATTGAAAATGCGGAGAGTAGATTCACTATAGCAATTTATTACTCAAGCCATTGTATGTAACAATCAACTCTTTGATAGATGCTAGGAACAAAGATTTGATTAGAGAAGTACAAATCAAGCCGTAGCAACACTTTTTAAGTTTTTAGAAGCTTATTTATTTAACCCAAAGCCTATTCAAATTGATATGATACGTTTTAAATTTCTTACCGAGCAAGAAAAGACTTACCATTTTTATAAAGATTTGTGCCTATATTGTAGATAATCCAAGCATGTTTTTTTATTTATTTAATATTATCAAAAAATAAATAAATAAATAAATAAATAAATAAATATAATCACAAAGTAAAGAGCATGGTTGCCAAAAAAAATAATAAATCTAAAAATAATTTTTTCAAACTACAATAGAAATTATGTAACAAAAATCTTGTATTATTTCTACTAAAGGTCCT